TTTATATTAGAATGCACGCAAAATAATAAAAACATACCATGCTTCGACAAATGATTCCGTCCCAATCACTCAGCTACAGGTGTTATTGACATTATTTCAACCTCGAAGAAAGGAGAACAGCGGCGTATGATAAGACGCAACGAAGGCATCATTCGTAATACTCATAATTATTTCTCTGCAGTGTTTCGCTTTAAAAAATTTCTGGCCATGCCAAAACAATACTATTTCAAAATATCTTTTTCTCCTCCGACCACTTGAGATTTTTTCTCACACCACTGAAGGAAGTCATGAAAAGCGGTTCCAGCTGCTGTCCTAAGTCACCCTTTGTTTACAGATTAAAAAGAAATATTCGGAGTTAAAACTATGTATTATCTCAAAAACGCGATACTTTTTCTAAAAGACGTCAACACGCCACGTTTTCTTTGTCTCTTCCGATCAACCACTTTATTGACGCTACCTTATCAACTCAATCGCTGCGTCCTACTCTCATCAAAAATGACTATAAGTGTTTGGCTTACTTTTGGAATGTTATGCTCTTACAACTGCAATTGAAAGACAGTAAACTTGTGAACTTTGCTTGGCTTATTCAACAGTTGCTTTCAATTCTATGTCACTAAAAAACCATACCAGATTTATAACAATGCATATCATGGTTAAACAAGGTAAATTTGATGTGATCAACTGATGCACGCAGTTTATTGCAAGTACTCAAAATATTCGCGCATACGGATGAATACTCGGATATACGAATACAACTCACTGCAATGTATTCAAAAGGATCAGAATTTCCAAAAAAATCGTTTAATGAACAAAAGTACCAGATTCAATATCTGACATTGCTACCATTTCAGAAACTTTTGTCAAAATAACGATTAAAAAAAGAAAGGCAGTTCAAGTTGAAAGAGCTTATGCTCAGTTAAACCTCTGCTATGCTTTAGTGGATCTAACAAGGATGCTCAGGACTTAGACGTCAGCCAGTTGCTGGTATGAAAATGTAGTCCTGTGATACTCTTATCACAGTGAATAAAAATCGAAATTCAAACTCACTAACTACATGGAAACAGTGACGGGCGTTAGTGACTGATGCACAGCGCGCACATGAAGTGTACACAAAGCGTTCTCTCACGTACCGCCCCTCAACTGTTCATGTGGAATGGAAACCAACCTGTCTGACTCCACCTTATGCCATTCGCTCTGTGAATTGTCAGCCATTTCGCCAAGAAACTCATTCAGATTTATAGCGCCATCCTTATTTGTATCTTTTTCTTTCATTGTTACCTTAAAGTAACGTTATTCGCAAAATTCATCCCCACAAAGTTCCATGCACATCAATAATGAAATCCCGCAAACAATTTTCGTCAGTTTGTTCAAAGCATTGTTTGCAACTTAGAAATCAAATGTTACAACGCATGCTTTGCAGGAAGTTTCATACTATCACACTAATATCGGTCAACTGCCGTGACAGCCACTACAACTCATTAGGGTAATCGATAACTCACATCAACAAGTATCTTGTGCATGTGCTTGTAGTTCTCTGGATTGAGAAAAGCACTTAGCTCTTCCTCGTTGAGCTTGCCGTCACCATCCACATCCGCGGCTGAGAAAATAGAATAGATCGTGCAAAGAATCATATGAACGCTACCTTTGAAGTACAACGCATCTTCATCCATCAATTTCCTATCATCTGGGTCGAGTTTCTTGATATCTTGTTCGGGGAACGAGTCCGCCACGTACTCATCCCACGAAACCTGAGCGATCAATATAAGGAAAAGGGAGTGAAGTACGAGAAATCTTCGTTATACAACGAGATAATAATGTTTCATATGAAGGTCTCAAAAATTATAGACGTGTCGCAAAATGAAGTCTAACAGAAAAGAATCTGAGAATCGCGATCTCTCACCAATTTATCTCCGTCCGTATCCATTTCGGTCATTCGTTCATTGACCTCCTCTTTGTCTAGTGACACCATCGATCGCTCAACCCAATATGTCAATTCATTCTCATCTAAACTGCTTATAGAAGTGACTTAGAAGTTCGGATGAGGTAGAACATTGTGAAAAATGAATAGTAACAGGAAATGGGCAAAAACTATCGAATTCTGTAAGGGAGAAGAATGCAAGGACACAGTTTAGAATACTATTCAAAATGATTAGCAGAGAATAAAATAGCTTTCCATGCGTAGCAAAAACAGAATAACAAAAGCTAACATTTTAAAAAAGGTCAAACTGTAGGGCTTTTTCTAATTATTGATCGTGGTGACTCCAATGTGACCGAAAAAGCGTCCGCGGCTACACCGACGAAACAAACAAGTTTGATGAAACACCTTTAAGGTAGAGTGTATCCCATAATCCATAACAATTTTACAATTTGGGCATAACAAAAGAAAACGTCCTATTGTCCAACAAATTCATGAAGTATCGATCCTTGTTCGACCCAAGTGGTTTGGCACAAGCGAAAACCCTGTCCATGTCAATCCTACCTGTACAATGCTGAGACGGCGCTGCAAACTTCATTCCTTAACTATTTTTGAGTAAAAGAG